TGCTGCTGATGTTTAGTCTGTTTTTTTTCCACTGTTTGCACTTCTTGCACTTTTATTTAGATAAGAAGAGTGCTCACAACATTATTCAAATCTTCTACCAGCTTCTGCTCAACACTTGTGCAACAGCTGATTCATCGATTATTTTGATAGACTGTATACAAAAATAACCCCCCACCTGGACCTTGGGTTATCTGGAACTGTGGTGACACAGAGGCAGGTAAACATTTACGAATTTAGCTGACTCCGGAGCTTTTCTCTCCGGTTGTCTGTCAAGTCTGGAACAGAGACTGAGGTTAGATATGTGAAACTTTAATTTAAAAGCTCAAACTTGGGAAACATGTCAATCAGTTAAGATCTGTCCCTCGGTTGACCTACAGATCGAAACACTTCCTCCACCCAGAAAGGAGACAGCCTAGAGGTTACTGAGTTTCTTAGCAGGAAGTTTTCTGTTAGTGTCTGGCTTAGTTTAAGAGTAATCTTTTCTGTCTGTAGTTTGACATTTAAATTCAAAACATGATGCATAAGCGGAAATGAGTATCGGGGAAATATGTCTACATAATGTTTGTACTGTAATTACATTAACTTGCCTCACAACCTTTAGTATACGCTTCTAAGTGAATCCACATTTTGAGAGCTAACCTTTCACTTTCTTTAAATGAATCTCTTTAAACAAGCATCATCGTCATCGTGCTATGACTGGTGTCATTGCAAATACTATGGCGTTTTCAATGAGACAGTCCAACAACAGCATTCTGACTAAATAGACTGGCTATGAAGTTTTCTGAAAAAGCTGAAAATGGCACTAAAATGGGACATTTTCTGTATTTTCTGCCATACTGTTAAAAAGATGGATGCTCTTCCTGATCATGGAAAAGTTTCAAATAATGAGGAGAACTAGGGCTGCCACAAACGATTATTTTGATAGTCGACTAGTCACCGATTATTTTTGCGATTAGTCGACTAATCAGATCATCATCCATTGGACGTACAGCTTATTGCACCAGCAGCATCTGGTCTTATATAACTATCATTAGCTTACAGCTTGAAGTGTTTGTGCTAACTAAAAATAAAGACAAGATGGTAGTTTATTAATTTTTAATGAAATCTGCAGATTGTTTCAGTGAAGTTTAATAAACTCCCTGCTTTCTAAAATATAACAGGACACCGGAGTATATTCTCCAGCGTCTCACACTTCTGATAATCAGCTGTCTGCTTGACAGTTTTAGCTGTGCAAAAACTATAACTTTAATCTCAGCCAAACCGATTTACTCAGGAACAAATAAAATACTAAAGAAAGCCAAACAATAACATTTTTAAGTTATCTAAGTGACTTATATATATGTTTAACCTGACTAGCGAAAGACGGCGGTGGGTTTGAAAACGATTTGCCGGGAGTCTGGTGTTCTCACGGCTCTAGTTAGCCTTGCCCCCGCCTAGCTAACGAGCTAGCGGGTAACAGACGTCTCCGAAAACGTCGGAGCGCTTTTGAAAATATGTGGTGTCCTGATAAACTGAGCAGATATTTGAGGTTTACACAGCTACATTCTCGCCTGAAAATATGTTAAACGTTTATTTTGTGACCAAGAAAGAATAATAAGAGTAAAGTTAAAACTAACTAGCTGCCGCCATTGTTGACAACTGCGCTGGGCTGCGCTATGAATTCTGGGACACAGCTTCTTCTTCTTCGGGGTTTAACGGCAGCTGGCATCCTTGTACATGCAGTGCTGCCATCTTCTGTTTCAGTCCGTTATTACACTCTTAAATCCTACTACTCATTCCTGCGTCCTTTGTGATCTTACAAAGCTTCAAACGATGCGTCGACTATTAAATTAGTCGTCGACGATTTTAATAGTCGACATAATCGTGACTAGTCGACTAATCGTGGCAGCCCTAAGGTGAACAAGTAATCGCTGTGAGCAAAATGCACGGGCTTCAGGCTGCTGTAAATGCCCAGTTTCAGCCATTTTTTTCTACTCTTTGTGCTCTGTCATGTCAGAGTTAGAGGATATATCCCTAATAAGGTAAGCTCCGGCTGTGAATGTGGAAGCCCCACCCACAAGCTGTTTGAATTTTCTTTGTAAAGTGGAGCCAGCCAGAACAAAAAGCTTAAAGGTTTGTTGCCTTTTGAGATGCAAGCCCAGCATTTTCCTTTGGCACTAATGATTCACAGACAAAGACAGATCCTTAATAATAACAAAAGTAAAAGTACTTATTCTCTAGCAAAATGTTCCCATCAGTGTTATTACTGCTGAAGATTATTCACATGTTTAAGGTTGAATTTCCTGTAAATAAGCTACACAGCAATCCACCATATTCTAAAAATCTGCTCAGAAACAGGCATGCCACTTGATTATAATAAGAATTTAATAAGTATATTTATTTCAAACAAACAGCTTGAAAAGCTTGAGTAGAGTGTGACGTGGGTATTTATCAATATCTACAGGCGGATCAAATATTAATGAAAAATAAAGGTGGGACATTAGCAAGACAGATGGTTAAACTTTGTAGATTTAATCAATCAAGTGATTTCTCAGAGATACTAATCTGGTGCTGATGGAACATGCATCTATTCAGCATTACAGTTTTATTAAACTGGACGTGGCAGGAGGTCCCCTCTCAATCATCAACGCTTTCATTAGTGATGAATTATTAAAATGAGTTACTGAAACTTTCATGTGTCTTACATGTTGGCCGACGTGATTAGCTAGACAAAGGTATCTGTTATAACTGAATGCGAGTGCTGATCTACTTGGTAATGCTAGTTGTTTCCACACAAAGTCTACATAGTAACTGATCTCAGAACTGTGAAAGCAGAGACAGCAGCAGCTTGCCTAGCACGATAGTCTCCTATCAGTTTCCTGTCAAACACCAGAGGCTTATCCACACATGCACATGGACAAACAACCAGAAAAAGAAGACTGCCTCTCAACTTCAGAAGCTTCATTTATTTTTAATGGGATACAGACATGCCCATGGGAACGCCCACCTCTGTAATCAAGCGGAAATAATTTTGCTTGCAGAGACAATGGCCGACTGTGGCCACAAGATGGCAGTAATGACAAAGGTGGTAAATATGCAATAGCGAAGCTTTGCGATGATGCTCGAGATGAAACGAGAGAGATCGTTTTATTTTAATTGATGTTGATTTTTACTTCTCACTAGATAAGCACTGCTTGCTTTGATGGGAAGCCTCTTGTACCCTTGTCTAAATATTGTTGGCTTCCACCCAAAACAAAAGACTTGGCAGTGTGCTGGAGCATAGGCCTGGCTGTGTCAATCTTTTATGCTGTCTGTGCAAAACTCCAATATGGGAACAAAAAGTGGTCAGCTAGAGGAACGGCAAAAATCACTGGGTGATCAAGGTGGCAACACTTCTTATTAGACACTAGTTAGTGATGTTCCTTTCTGCTTTCTATGTGGAGTTTGCATGTTGCCCTTGTACCCGAATAGATTTACGCCAAACATGTCCATGTTAGGTTAACCAATTATTCTAAATTGACTATGGAGTAGATAACATGCTGTGTGACTCTAGATTAAAAATCGAATTCTAACCATAAAGTCACTTTGAGTGGTCGGTAAGACCAAATCAGTGCTACAAAATGTGGTCGATGAAGTCGATGGCACTGGTTCTAAATTGAGCACTAGTGGAAAAGGGTTTTAGTCTTGTGTTTTCCGTTTTGGTTGGAATAGTTGCACATTATAACCACACTGTGATTTTCCAAAACTCTAAAGCTTAACTGGAGCGTTTATGATGGGTTTGATATGTTCGAGGGCATGTGAGCTGTAATCTCTTCAACTTTCTCTGATCAGATTTAACCTTCAGGTCATAATAAACTGCATCAGATCTGCGAGTAAACTTACACTTCTATCAAACTAAATACAGACAACATTACATCAAGTCGGCAAATAGAAAAATTTAAACTCTGATGAAAAAGTTAATCCACAAACTACATCTGAATAATAATAATGACAATATTTAATCTGCTTTCTCTTTTTGTCTTAATTTTCAGTGTGACCAACTTTTTTCACATCATAATGCAAGTTCAGCCAGCCTTATCGTGGTTTGCAATGCAAGAAAGCAATGAGCTGGGCGTTTAATAGCACACACGAAGAGGCTGTCTCAATCTATCCATAAGACTACAGTGGAAACAAAATAATGTGACTGTGATTACAAAATGTTTTATTTCTATTTTAGGAAAATCTTTCCACTAAAGTAAGTAATTAAAAGATTATTTATTCCTTTCATACGTCACAAGAGTGACACAATTTTTAACAGCCACAATGATCATTTTCCAATACCAGCATTTTCCAACATGTGGGATCTTATCTGAGGATGATAAGAGCCCACAGTAGAGTGCCCCCTAGTGGCACAAAAACTCCATGACAATTTCCAGTTTGAACCTTTAAAAATACACAAAAGAAAGACAGTATATGAAATCACGTGTCATATGTATTATCTCTTTAATAAATTGATACAAACATACATTTCAGCTGTCATTCAGGACATTATGCTTCAAAAAGGCATAACATCTGTGATTAAATACAGAGTTTTACATTCTCACCCTGCTGCGTTTATTACGCAACTCGGGAACCAGGAACTAAGTTAGTCGGACTGTCACCTGATGTTTCCTCATCTTCTGAGAAGGAAACTAAGTGAAAAATCTGCCTTGACAAACAATTAGTGGAAAGTCAGACTCGACTATAAGGGATGACTTAGAAAACTTAGTCTGACTCGACTAAGTTTTTCTCCATTACAGCTGGAGGAGCATTTCAGGTCATCAAAAGTGATCCCCAACTTTGCTTAAATTAAGACTTTTAGGAGGAGAGATTTTTATGCAGCAGATATGAGAGTGAATACACCTGGCTGGATGTTGTAAATTCTTGCAATCAAAGCCAGATGAGACATAACATATCACACATCATATGAAAACTGTGATGGAGACAGAATTCAAAACTGAAATCTGGCACTGACTTCTCTGCGATCTCATTCCTCTCAGTGACTCATAGGGGCTCAAAGTGCAGTATTTATCACAGTTCTACCTACACGATCAGCTGATCAGGTGTGACTATTTCTTTTAAACTCTTTTGCACATGCACTTCTTCCTCCCCACAACCCGATGGCATCTCAGTGTCAGCTTCACATCTAAAAGCAAACAGTGGCTGCTCCTTTGTAAAACTGCAATCATACCAGCGCCTAACTAGTATTCATTTTAACAAGACTGCATACACGCTGCCATACTAACGGAAAGGCATATACAAGTGTGCATCCTTGTGAGTTGCTTGTGAGTTCGATTTCATAAAACAATTCATCTCACAAACTCAGTTTCTGATTTACCGGATGAATTTTTACTGTTTCAAAAATACAAAAGACGTTTCTTTCTCAGAGGACAGCCCAGGGGTAGGTACACCATCCAACATTCAAAGGTTGGGTTACACTTTTCTAGAAACAATGCAAACAACACACAAAGAGTGCAAAGGTTTGTCTGCCCTTGTTGCAAATGCACACACTGCTGCTCTTTCCATCACCGTGAGAGGTATGCGCCCATGTCTCAGAAAAGGGCCTGATGTAGCATGTGTAGGCAGAGAGTGAAAATATGTAGCACAGCAGGACGACAGGAGAAAGATTGGGCTTTGAATAACAGTCCTGTTGTGTCTATACAGATGAGTCTAAAGCCAAGTGGTCAAATACATGAGCATAAGAAAAATGGGAAAGATTAGAAAGATTTTGCACCAAAAATAACATTAACTTGAAATTAATGAGAAAAATATCTGTGCCATTTAAATAAAATGATGCTGCATTTTCACAAAGACCAGAATATTATACCAATAACTTCAAAACAGGGGAAGCAACTTCATGTGAAGCTAAAGGTTGGAAATAAGCATATAAACAGTTGAAGAAGTGTGACACCTTCTGGACAACAAAGGAACTGCAGAAGTTAGAGTTAAAAGAGCCTCCAAAACAGATCTGTAGCATGAAAACAGATTAAAATTCAATGAAGTCTTTATGTAATTTATAGCTCCATATAAAAACAAATAATAAAAAAACAAAAACACAAAACAGTTAACTACACTGGGTGTTTCCAGGATGAAAGACAACGCCATTGGCATGTCTCAGCTATGCACACTGTCTCTTTCCGTAGCTATATACACTGGATTACAGCATTGGTGACATACGACTGTCACTCCCAGCCTGTCATGCTTCACACATATCCTGTTGTGGAGCGCCCCATTTCAACCCAAACCACCACGTCTTTTCCTAAGACCAGCCGAATGAATTTTAGTGCCCAAACTCAACCAGTAAATAGGAGTGAAAACATGTGAAAAAAGGTCCAAAGGTGACACAAACCACTGTGCACTGACTGATCAACCTGTGACCAGAGACCTCACGCCATCAGCACCCTTCAAACCTCCCAATGTTTGTAGAGCTCTAAAAATGGGTCATTTACTCTCATTCCATCACCATGTGACACTCCCAGAATGAAAACAAACATACAGATTTAACTATCCATGACATTTTCATTAGCTTCTTCATCCAAGTTTAAGTTGAAATATTCTGAAAACACCATCTGCTTCAGCAACCCCACAATAAAAAAAATACTGATTAATAACAGAAATGTGTCCACACCTGACCTATCTTACAAACAGGCCACTACAGAAGTTTGAACAGAAAAAGAGAAAAACACTGTAAACTCTTCTGAGCTTCAAACACACAGCTGAGGTGCAGAGCAAACAAAAGCCACCTTACTGGGTTAAATGGGACTCCAGTTCCCAAGCAGCAATGGTCCTAAAGTTGACTGCAGGCTCTGCTCTGACTAAAGACTCAGTGGAGGTCTCATCTTCCTCCTCCCGTTTGGTAATTCATCACGGCGCTGAGCTTGAACACCCCTGCTGTCCTGCCGTGGCCACAAATCACGGAGTGAGAAGTTTGCGAGATGCTGAGGAGGAAAAGTGTCTCAGGAGGAGCTGACAATCCAGGACTTTAATAATCTCCACTCTTCTTCCTCTCGAATCCTCCCTCTGCTTCTCCTCCTCATCTCGTCCAATCCAGACAATTACTTCTGCAGCTCCTGCGGCGTGCTGAAGGTCTCGTAGACATTGGCTGCAAACTCCTTCACCTGGTCGTTCATCAGCAGCTCCTGCAGAGATCGCACAGATTTAAACATGTTTGATTAACATACAACCAAGTTTGTAAGAAAATAAAAGTGAAAATAAACAAATCTCTCAGTTAAACAATGCGATATGTTGTCTTTGTACAATTTTTTTATTAAGGATATAAATGATTTGGTTTTATTTACATGTTACACAAATCCTAACTTTTTTGGAAATAAAAAAAATTTATATATACACTCAGACAATCCTCTTAAATAATTTCAATCAAAATAAAGGTTTGATAAAGAGCCCAAACGTGCAGATGAATAAGAATAAAATAATCTAAGACTGTTTGAAACACATTAAAGAAAGTGAAACGGATCGTGCAAGATTAAAGATTTCATAACCAATCTGACAGTGATTCTCTAGAACTCATTAACATGTGTATTCTGAAATGAGAGCTGCACCTGTCAGCAGATTGGAACATGTTTGAACATTACGCTCCCAACAGTAAAGAAAATCAAAAAGCAAACGGTGTGGACAATGACCGATTGACAGATAACTAACAGCCACAGCAGCTGCCTGTTCCAACTGTTTCACCCTGAATCTGGCTGTTTGCCATACTGCACATCACTCTGATAGTTCACTCCACCGTCTGGTGTTCGATGTTACCTGAACAAAGTGACTGGGGGTCTCACTGCAGATGGTGTTGATCTGACCGTTGATGATGGGGATGATCTTTGCCAGCGGCAGACTGACTGCAGACAGACTGAACACACAAACACAGAAAAAGACAGCAAAGTTAAGGTAATGCCCACTTCATGCTAATGTTTGCTGGGAAATAACAAGGACAAAAAAACCCCCCCACCCACCTCATAACACTTAATATGTGTATAAGGAGTGTGTTTTACATTACATTACACATGGCCGGTATTTATGTTCAGACAAAACCGAGGAGTGATCACGACCTAAACAGAATCATATCTAACAACCCCAAACAACCGAAGCACATTAGATGTTAATGTAGTCCTCCTGAACAGGTAGGACTATATTAATGTCCATTTTGGAATTCCAAAAGGAAAAGCTTAAAAAGAACTACCGAAGTTTCTGTTCATAATTTTTATGGACAGGATTTCTAGGCGCAGCCAAGTGGCGGAGGGCTTTCGCTTTGGTGGCCTCAGAATCTCATCTCTGATTTTTGCGGATGATGTGGTTCTGTTGGCTTCATCGGGTGAGGGCCTCCAGCTCGCACTGGAGCGGTTCGCAGCCGAGTGTAACGCAGCGGGAATGAGGATCAGCACCTCCAAATCTGAGGCCATGGTTCTCAGCCGGAAAAGGGTGGAGTGCCCACTCCGGGTCGGGGATGAGTTCCTGCCCCAAGTGGAGGAGTTCAAGTATCTCGGGGTCTTGTTCGCGAGTGATGGGAGAAGGGAGCCGGAGATCGACAGACGGATTGGGGCTGCGGCTGCAGTAATGCGGACGCTGCACCGGTCAGTCGTGGTGAAGAGGGAGCTGAGTGTAAAAGCGAAGCTCTCAATTTACCGGTCGATCTACGTCCCTACCCTCACCTATGGCCACGAGCTGTGGGTAGTGACCGAAAGAACGAGATCGCGGATACAAGCGGCGGAAATGAGCTTCCTCCGAAGGGTGGCTGGCCTCTCCCTTAGAGATAGGGTGAGAAGTTCGGCCATCCGGGAGGGGCTTAGAGTAGAGCAGCTGCTGCTCCACATCGAAAGGAGCCAGCTGAGGTGGTTCGGGCATCTGGCAAGGATGCCCCCTGGGCGCCTCCTGGGCGAGGTGTTCCAGGCATGTCCCACCGGGAGGAGGCCCCGGGGCAGACCCAGGACACGCTGGAGAGATTATATCTCTCGGCTGGCCTGGGAACGCCTTGGTATTCCCCCGGACAAGCTGGAGGAGGTGGCTGGGGAGAGGGAGGTCTGGACCTCTTTGCTTAGGCTGCTACCCCCGCGACCCGACCTCGGATAAGCGGATGAAGATGGATGGATGGATGGAAGAACTACCGAAGTACACGTCTGAGACCTGACTTGAATGTTAAAATCTTCTAAATCATTTGTGCATTTTCAGTTTCAGCTTGTGAAACTGGCTCTCTGGTTACCTGTCTAAATCACTGCGTCAACCCATACTTAATATATGCCCTGGTGAGGAGCTGGTTATGCTCAGAGGTTTAGTTTAAAATCGCCAGGAGGGCCCACATTTTCTTATTCTTATACTCGCAGCACATTTTAAATGCAATATCGATTCTCTGCTGGAGGGACATTCACAGGAATGAAATTGTATAAATGTCTTAATATTTGATGGTAATCTGCTGCTTGGTCTGTTTAACACTGCTGGAACTGCAGCTGCTCGAATGCAGGACACATAGGGATTATTTTGTGTGGAAGAATATGAAGTGCCCCGTTTTATGTGAGCAGAATGAAGCAGTTGTCAAGCCAACGAAGCCAAAGAAAGCCCGGCGTTATTGAAATTTGTTCATAGTGTAACCCTCAGGTCACCAAACTCCAGTGACAGAATAATAATATCTCCAGCTGCTATCACATATGTAGGGATTTAATAAGATTTCTCCATGTTTCAAATGCAAATGATAGCAGTAAAACAAATAAATAAAACAGGTGTCTATGGCTTACCTATCAGGTGCACAGCTGGGGGCAGAGTCACTTGGAGGCGGGCGGAAGAACTCGGCCAGGTTGTCACAGAGACGGGAGAAACCTCGGTTCAGACAGACTTTGAGGACAGTGGTGAAGTCTGGACTGAAGTCAGACACAAAAAGCAGAAATTCACCTTTCACAGGAGCACAAACACAATCTTGTTAAAGCATACCTACAGACAGGTGTGTCATTTACCTATCCAGCATGTCTCTAGTCTCGTTAAGCAGCTTTATGGTCATAATGTCATTCTCTGTGAGCCCGCACGCCTACAGGAGCAGAAGAAAAGAGATCTGTAAGACTCTGTAATGGGGTTTTCCCGTGAACGGCAGTGTAAATCTGCTTTGAGCAGTCACCTGATCGGCCAGCACGTTCTCGTCATCTGCAAGCAGGTACCAGGACAGAGACCGCCTCGAGCTGGCCTCCACCTCCGCTCTGATCCAGTTCAGCTGCTGCTCCAGCTCCAGCAGAGACCAGGTCTCCTTCAGAGACACGCTGGAGATGAGAAATAAACCACGTTGATGTTTTGATGATTGATTTTTTTAATTTAAAAGATGCACAACAAAGATCAATACAAAGAATTTGTTCCACATTGTTTTTACCAGCCTAAGCTACGTTGTTAATAACTTGTTCTGTTGCTTTATAGATCACTGATGGATAATGAAGAGAATAATTGTTGCAGATCACCTTCCCAGTGAGCTCTGTACCGCCTTCTTCACTACCGTTATCAGCTCTGCCAAACCTAGTGTGAGACAGAGACAGAAGTCTGTTACTACAAGAGTCCTGCACTGACAGATGGAAACAAGGATTTTACAGGTTTATGCTTTTGTGTCAGTGCTATACCGTCTCCCAGTAGGTGCTGGATACTTGACAAGTACTGCTGCTGGACGTCTGGGGGGGCAAGAGGGGTCTGCAAGCAGACACACAACACAGACACACTCCTGAATAATATTCACCTCAGCTTTAAACAGGCAGAGATTTTTTGAGCCAATCTAAGCTTATTTTAATCAACAGGTCATTAATTAAATCTTTAACGTATTCTCTTCTATGTTATTCAGTTCAGGCAAAAAGCACTGCTGTGCTGCTCTCTTTAATCACAGCCATGTGTTACACTGCACCGAAAAGCTTCACCAGTTTTACTGGGGAATCAAATTAACCTGTTAACATGTTCGTCAGGGAAACCTTGGGTCCTGGCATATGTGGATATCGATTCAAACATTTTCACACAAACCTTAGATAATCTTTCATTTTACAACAGGAAACAGGTTTCTGGTGCAGGAGTCAGTACACAGGATGAGTATTTCCTAGCTGTGGGTACACCAAAATATTACCCGTCTTACTCTCAGACTGACACAAATCAGCATAACTGGACACAAACTGGGAACTAGCAGGTCAGAAATGGGCATTCTCACATTCTCATATCACTGACAGATGTGGGAAATATTTTCTGACATGTACCACCCACCCAAACAATGTCCACCCTGCCAGTGGACATGTATGGAGCATGACAAAGAACCAAAGGCTTTGCCCTGGGCTCCAAACTCTCCAACAGACAAACCACCCCACAATTCATCACCTCAGTGTGGCAGAAACTGCAGGACAGCCCGAGAGGTTCACAACAGGTCAGGGCTTTTTTGGGGAAACCAGGTAATCTTTAAAAGGTGTATTTTTTATGATCATGGATAAATATTATCAGACCGATATTTAACCTGTCTAATATGTATCTCTCTTTCCAAACAGTTTCCAAAACTCCTGACACAGTGAGCTGCAGCTGATCATTTTACACACAGTCAATCAGTTCTAGGAGTCACTGTGCTCCTCACCGTTGTGCTCTTTCCCACTGAGTTATCCAGGTACAGGTATCCTCCAATGATGTTCAGCTGGACTCTCAGTAAAACCACCAGCATACAGGTGCTGTACACCGCCACAACTGTGCGTGTAAAACCTGAACGGAACGACAAGTTCTGTTATCATATTTTAAGTTTTCTTGTGTTTGTTTTTAAATCCAATAAGTCAATTATTATTTATTATTATTAGATTATTTAGAGGCATTTAGATTTTACTCAGATACACTCAGGGACATCTGAACTGAAAAACACTTACTGATGATCTTTAAATCTTCCCAGATCTCCAGTTTATTAGCCGGTCTGTAAAGTAGATGTGAATGAGGGAAATGGTTGTCAGCCACTGTACACATTTATTTCACTACATGAACTTGTGCTAATTTCAAAATTTAATGTTTTCCTCAAGAATAAAATCAACAACTGCAATAATCAGCATAAAATAACGAACAAAAGAAAAATGTAGCCTTAAACAATAAACTTGTGTACTACTACTGTTTGACCAAGTTAAAGAAGCTTTTTCCTCACTTGGACTTGAGTAGTGTTGTGAGACTTTCTGAGTTGAGTTGCGTGACGATGGCTTCTTTGAGCGCTGGGAGCATGGACAGCACTGCAATACATTTAAAACTTTCACTGTAGTGTTGGTCCTCACCTTTTTCTGTCAACTGTTAGTCATAACCAGGTCAAGTGTAAAATAATTACCAGTCATGTTGCAGGTCCTCTGGTTGCTCTCGAAGTGGAACTGTCTTCTGGCCTGAGCAATGTACTCTGTAGCCTCCCTCTCTTGGATCTCACTGAACTTCTTCTGGGCATATTTACCTAGAAGGTATACGCCTGAGGAGGGACGCAGAGAGCACAATGAGGTCACATCAAATGCAGAAAACTATCCTTGGCTTTGGTACGATGCAAAAGCTAACCAGGATTTGCCCTGCAGATGTTTATGACATGGAATAATACCAGAGGGCTGTACTTTAAGTAGCAGATTTACAGACTTGTGACAAATTAAAGGTGTTGAATCACTGTGTAAAATGTAACAGCTGAAATGAGACTTGAAATGGATTCTCCAAGTTTCTCCAGTGCAAGGATAAACACTGTTTTTCAAAAGTATATTCCCTAAACCTAACCATCCAATAATTGTAACTGTGAAAACATTATGGTGCAAATTACATAGGACGAGCCATTGAGACTTCATTAAATCACCTTTAGCACCTTTATGGGGAAAGAATTTTAATTGGTGGGTCACAGGTTGACTGGCTACAGTGGCGTAAGGCAGGCATCCTCTATGTATCACATTTATTTGATCGCAGAACCAAACATTTCCTGAGCTTCGATCAGATTGTTAAGCTATATAATTTGCAGTGCAATCAATTCTGGAGATATGTCCAAATGCGCAGTTCTTTATCAAAATGGCTGGAAAGCCCCATGAGTTGTCCTGCAGGCAGCCCTGTGGAAGCACTGCTTTCAAGATCACCCTTTGGTAAAGGTATTACCTCTAAGATGTACCATTTACTGCAAGATCAGTTAGCTGACCCTCTTTCCAAAGTTAAAAGTTGTTGGGCCCAAGATCCCCCCCACCCCCATATTTACCACTCAGTTTTAAACCAGTAAAGTCAAATAGCCACCGGATCCCACTTACAAATGTGTGCAGATGCTATAGCTTATCAATTAATATGGTAAATGACACTGAATTTTCCATAATGCCACGTGAGATAAAAGGCCAGCAGTTATGTGGAGGTCAGCGTACACTTACTTAATTTTAAACACGAATAATGAACAGCTACACCAAACTTCATTCATTTGTTGGCTATTTAAAGAGCCCCAAATAAAATACACAGTAAGAACTCCAATGAATAGTATTTAACTTAGTAATCAACTACCACATAAAGCAGTGTTAATTTCGGTGAAACTAACTGGTTTCCTAAAAAGGTCTTTTCAATGCAAACACACCTTGTGGGTTGTTAAAAAAAAAAACAGGGTAGTTTCACTAAATATTCTGCGGCACGATGGAGAAAACAAATTCCGAATAAACCAAATACCATTCTTTCTTTATGCTTTTGAAATATGGGTTAGCGTGCATTTCTTCCGTCTTTATTTTACAGGGGGATAAAAAGCCCAGTCTAAAGGCTGTTCTGCGGAGTCTGGCGTGTTGCTGCAGTCTTGCATTAGCACGGCGGCTAACAGGAACATGACTTACCTCCAATTAGAGCTCCGGTGAAAATAAATTTCTTTTTATGGCGTTTTATAAAATTCCACGCAGACGAAAACATCCTCGGACAGAGAGAGGGCCACCAACTAAAACAACAAAAACTCTATTTCTAAATTCTTTCTTACTATTTTACGGACATGTTTCGGATAGCAGCTTGCTAACTCTCAAAAGTGCCAAAGTACTTTGGTCATGGTAACTATTGTAATGACTTCCGGTTATTTATGTCAAAATAAAACCACAAGTCGAACTACAGTAGTCATAAAGTGACTTTGTGTCTGCAACAAGGCTCCTGGAAACATTCTTATTTATTTAGGCAAGGAAAAAACACTTAATATTTTTAAATGCTTTTAAAATATACAATACAATGCAATATACCAATGCACATACAAGCTTTGCAAAACTGATACACAAATTTTAAAATAAAATATTTCAAAATTTGACGAAAACAAAAAATGAATATCTAATATATAGATAGTTTTGAGACACTAGTTTGTCACCATCGTCAGACTGGTCTCTGAAGTAAAACACAATAGATTTTTTTTAATCTTATAAACGAATCGTATCGAGCCCTAAAAATTTAGTTTCTCCCTGTATAAACTAAAAAAAATTTGTTCTTTTATTTTTGGGGGTAAAATCGATAACATCCGGTTTAGATCCCTCCACAATAGTCATCAACTTGACGTCATTAGACCAGAACGAGCGTGGAGCGCAGGTGCAGCGAGTGGTCCGTCCAATATTATCTTCCCCCCACCGGTGTGAGTTCGTTACATCGGCGTGGCTACGGGTAAAACAGGAATTAAAAATTAGCAGGTGTATTATATGCAGCTTTTTTATATTGAGTTTTGGTCACAGCAGTTGAAATGGGAACAGAGGAGGGTAGTAAAGAAGAGTCTGTGGAGCTGTTCTGTCCGAGTGAAGAGGAAATTGAGAGGTGGATGGCCAGAGCTTTTGACATGGTGAGCTCGTGTTTTTAATCACTCCGTTAACTCTTCAGCCGAGTCACGGCGACTTTGTTTGTTTTGTAAAATTTGCAGTTTTAAAGTAATTATTTAATTTTCATTTAAACTACTCGGTATGTGAACTACGAAGTTTCTATTTTTTTATTTGCCTTATTGTATTGATTGAGGTATTGGTTATTTTTCTAGATAATTTTATATAGTAATGCTACTTAGATGTCTTTATTTGTATTTCAGTTTTTCTGTTATAGCCCTCTGATGCCCTTTTTCTGCTGTTTATCCAGGCTCTGATCATGTTTAGGGATTAAGTAGTGATATTATATACAGCTGGAAAAAAGTTTCTTTATAATAGTAAATAATAAATAATGTAAACATTTGTCAGATGTGGTCACACAGGTGTCTCCGTGAACCTCGTGGATGTTTGTAGATAGCACTGTGATCTGTAGTAAACAGGTGGAAGAGAGTGTAATGAAAATCAGAGAAAATCTGTGTGTGAATGAGAACGAGATGGGTGTAATAGTCAAGGTAGACGAGTATAAATACCTGAGGTCAACCATCTCAAGCAACAGACAGTGCACAAGAGAGATGAAGAAGAGAGTACAGCCAGGATGGAGCAGGTGGAGACGAGTGTCAGGGGTGATTGTTGACAGAAGGTCAGCAGCAAGAGTAAAAGTGAAGGTGATGGTAGTGAGACCTGCTGTGATGGTTTGGAGATGTGGCACTGAGAAAAATACAGGAGGCCGAGCTGAAGATGCTCAGATTTTCAGTTGCAGTGAGCAGGATGCACAAGATTAGAAATCAGAGGGAAAGCTTAAGTATTTGGAGATAAAGAGGCAAGGCTGAGTTGGTTTGGACATGTGCAGAACATTTACTGGATAAAGGGTGTTGAATGCAGAGTTGCCAGGCAAGGCCACAGAGGAGGTTCATGGATGTAGTGAAAGAAGGGTTAGTATGGCAGAGGAGGATGATAGAGATGGCAGGAGGCAGATGATCCACTATTATAATCCCTAAATCCTTAATCATTAGTGTATAATGTTAAAAAATAATTTCATGTGCCTCCTTTATGATATTAAGAAATGTCTAAAAGTTTAATCTAGAGAACCCTAAAGACACCACGCTCTCAAAGCTGTGAGCTGCAGCCAGAGATCTGTGCACAGGTGTATTGGGGATTTTTCTCTTCTGAAGTTCTTCTTAACACTAACCAATTTTCCATCTTTAGTTGCTTCCTGTTAACTGCCTTTTTAAATGTGTTGCTGCAGGCAAAAGAAGCTCTGGAGAATGGAGAGGTGCCTGTCGGATGTCTCATGGTCTACAAAGACGAAGTTGTGGGGAAGGGAAGGAATGAAGTCAATGAGACTAAAAATGTAGGCAAAGTGTACAGCACAGTTATTTGTCTCTGCAAATGGAGATGTATGTATGAGTGGTCTTCTTTCAAAACTCATAAGTCAACAACTAAGACAAAGCAAAATGAATAAATTATAGAACTGATACATTAACTATTGGTGAGGAGAAGAAGAAATAATATATTGGTATATTAAAATGTAACAAGTTCAATAGTTTGAACAATTATCTGTTCAAACTATTGAACAAACAGGTCCCAGAGGGTCTGGGTTGATGGTCTCTGTACAGTAATCCCCCACTGTGTAGTTTGCTTTGACCGACCTAATTAGTTTCTGTAATCTGCGAGTGTCAGATCAATCACTGATCAATATTTGTCCTTAAGTAAGCCGGTGACTCTGCAATAGTGAGTCCTCTGCGGCGTGTGGAGTGAGAGCCCATAACTGAGAAAATCCTTTCATGGTGTGAACAGTTTTCCTTCCAAGTAAATGTGGCTCAAACTAAGGAAAAGTCCCCGCTGTCCCTGCATCATGTCTGATGAAAGATGAGCAAAAGGGAAAACACTTTGCTCCTTTTATTTGGTTGCTTGGGTCATTTTTGTCTTAAAGTCTGAATAGCATTATTTTTAAAGTCCATACAGGTACAGGAAATCCTTTCAGCTTTACATTTGAGTGCAAAGAGAGATGGTATCAAAAAGTGTTTTTACTGCTGAAGAAATTCAGAGTTAAAGCGTCACCTTATCTGGACCGAAGTGCAAAAAGTTCCCACCTGACCTCCACAGAATCAGCTGTGCTTTTTTGTTTAATGATTTCAGCCCATCTCATTAAATTACAAAGAGTCTTTTGTAAGTTTTGAAAGTTTCAGGGCTGAACCTCTGTTTAAAAACTGCAACCAAATCAATTTAAAGCCACTCTAAGGGTCACACTCGCCATTGGCTTTTGAGCATCAGTATGATGGGATATATCAGAGTTTCAATCAGCTGTTTAATGAAGTAGAGGAACAAATACCTGAGCGTCAACACGATACCTGAGGTTTGCATACGTTTCTTTGTGCGTGGTGGTTTTTTTCAGGCCACTCGGCACGCTGAGATGGTCGCTCTGGATCAGGTCCTGGACTGGTGTTGGCAAAGCAGCTTGGACGTGAAGAGCGTGTGCGAGCGGATAGCGCTGTACGTCACCGTGGAGCCATGCATAATGTGTGCTGCAGCGCTGCGCCTCCTCAGTATCCTCGCCTCACCTCTCTGCTAGTGTGTGTGTGTGTGTGTGTGTTGGGATTCAGTTGTTGTTCCTTTACCAGCTGTCAGACATCCCCGTGATCGTGTATGGCTGCAGGAACGAGCGTTTCGGAGGCTGCGGCTCAGTCCTGGATGTCTCCTCTGCAGACCTGCCTCACACTGGGACCCAGTTCAAGGTCAGTGTTTGCTCCTGATGTCTTTCTGGATTCCGCCTGCATGTTTGTGGAGTAGTTTGTGCTTCCTGCAGCTGAGTTCAGAAATCTTTAGGCAAGCAGATCAGCTCCTTTTCTGAATGGGATGTTCAAGAGTTACATGAATGTAAAGTCCTTGTGTGGTGCAGTGTGTATTATATGTGTGTGTGTGTTCAGTGTATTTCAGGTCACAGAGCAGAGGAAGCCGTAGACATGCTGAAGACTTTCTACAAACAGCAGAATCCAAATGGTGAAAAACAAAACCACTCTGCATGTCTTTTTTTTCTCCTCCTCATGCTCCATTATCAAAATGTTTTATATTTTCATACTTTACTGTTGCTTTTTTTACACTATTATTCCTTCTCTTCTTTTCTCACAGTGTTAAACTTTCTGTCTGTTTCAGCCCCCAAACCCAAAACAAGGAAGGAGTGATCTCCAAGAAACATCCTATTACAAGGATTTTTTTATAATATTATTAATTAAATTATATTTTACATACATTTTTGTCTATTGCTTTTTTTTTTTACTATTTGTCTAACCTTTTCTTTACCTATTAATATGACCTTAATAAAGGACATCTTATTTACAGTTAGAATTTAGCATTAGTGTTTCTGTTCATGCAGACTGCCACCAGAGGGCGCTATAGACCAGTGGTCTTCCTGTCACTGAACCTCCACATAGAAGAAATAAAACTATAGTCTTTGGACTAATAAATACTATATTTAAAAGAAATTTATGATATTTTCCAAAAGTAAAGGCTCAAGAATGTCAATAAGAAATAATTTTTAGGAAAGAGGAGGCAAATCTTCACTGGATGTTGTGTGGGTGAACTTTACACGCTCTTTTCTCCGTCTTGCGTATTGATTTGTATCGTTCAGAAGCACACTCTTGGCCTGCTTCAGCTCTAAATGTGATGCATACCACTTCCTGTGATATTTTTCCGAGAACGAGTCAGGCAGTGTGAGAAACTAAGGAAGTGTGCCTGAGAGCGCTTCTCAACGGGAGTGACCTTCACAGCTGCTCGTATAAGAGAAACGCACATGCTGACACAATTCAGCTCGTTTCACTTCCTCTCAGACACACACACACTCTGTGGTGTGTCAGTTGGTAGCATTAGCAGTTAGGTTGTATTGACAGTGTCTGTGTGTGCGTTGCTGGGTATGTGTGTCTGTTTCATGTGTCCTGCTGTTTTTATTCCTCCCCCTGGCTCAAAAAAGGGATTGATGGAATTTAAACTTTTTTGCACTTTCTTTTGCTCTTTGTCTTTTCAAGGTTGTCACCACTTCCTTCCTGTCTCCTTCCTTCCTTTTTGTGGCTGATAACTTCCTTCCTTCCTTCTCCATTTCCGTCCTTTTATTTGTTAATTTCCCACTCCCCTTCTTTTCCATAATTTTGGAAAAGTAGTTTTTTGTCTTAACTTTCTTCTGCTTTCCGTCCTTTTTCTGCTTTTTACTTTTTTAATTTGCCATTCTCATTTTTTGCTATCTTAAAGTAGAAAGTTCTTTTATGTCACTGCATAATAAAATAATAATAATGATGAAACAGAATAACATTGTGCTAACACGATCAAGCTGCATATAATACACCTGCTAATTAGCACTATGTAATAGACTAAGTGCTACATTTTAATCACCAAAACTGAAGCACAAACTTATTGAAGCTCAAAGCAGTTCATGTTATTTGTTACATAGTAATTCCATTAAAAATGCACCAAAAGCATAAATGTGACGTTCAGATCAGCGACTCTCTTTAGATAATAAGAGTTATAAGCTTTAGCAGTGATGCTTAGCAGACGGCTATCGCACATCAATAGTCTAATATTCCATAATGTTAGTTAGTTTGTTTTTCCCCCATATACTACACATGGCTTTCTGATGTGCTGTTTTGAAACTTTAAGATTTCTTAGACGTGACGAAGGAGGCCCTAATTGTTAAACTGGACGCTAATTGTCTAATTACTGACATCTCATTAGCCAATGAGTATATCATTTTGATACTACCGCCAATCCTTCATTTTAAAACACAAGAATCATTTTCTAAACAGCTTTAACTTTTTTAGCCTATATGACTAAAAATGAGTGACTGAGCCAATAAACTCAGCAGGAAAGTATTTACGGGGGTGAAGTCAGAAAGCTGTTTTTCCACAGACTCTTACAGGCCTGGAAGTTTTGTTTTGTTTTTATTTTTTGCATTCACAGCTATCGCCACACTTCCACATTGGCTTCATTTTTCCCTCCTACACATAATCCAGGTAGGCTACGCTGCACAAAAAAACTGTATTTATATTTATATATATTTATATGAAAGTTACACCTATGAAAGCTTTGCTGCTGACCTACAAATGAATCCTGTAGGATACACTTCTGTGATAAGATGCCTTTTATAGGGTGAATAAAATGCTTTCAGTCTTCTACACGATCAAATCCATTAGGATTAGTTCCCATATCAGTTGGGATACTGATATGGGAACTAATCCCAATACTTTCTATATTTCAGCTTAAAATTGACTTAAATATTACACTTTTAGAAGGAAATTGAACTAATCAAACACGGCAGTGGGATTTGAAAATACTTATGTGCCATTATCATTCCTCTTCTCACCTGTTTTTATTGCTGAGCTTGTCATTAGTTGGAATTGAACTTAACTTGAAAATTAAAGCAGTTAATGGCGAATGAAGTTTTCATCAAGAGTCACAACTAAAGTTTGTTAAATTCCAAATGGCTGTTCTATAGAATCTAATTTTGTGCAAATGTTGGTGTCGCCTCCTGCTGGTCGTTAGAAAGAGTACAGGTTTCTGGCACGTTCACGTGTTGTCTTTCATTTACAGTCTGTGTTCTTAGATGGTGTGATGTTTTAAACTGCCTTCTTCCTTTTTCTTTCTTGTGTTAGCAGTTCCTCACCAGTTAATTTACTTCAGTGTTTTTCCACTTCCTTTTATGACCTTGTTCACTTTCCCCTTCATTCCCCCTTACTATCTCTTCTATCATACAGGGGTTTTTTTTATTTTCCCACTTCCACTTTTTCGTTCCTTTTATTACAAACTTGTAAAATACATGCACACGTTCCCACAATATTTTTTGTTTACTAAAATCATCACAAGAAGCAGCTGAGAATTTAAAGCCGCGTAGGTTTTCTCATGAACCCGTTTTCCTGAGGACAGTGAGCTCACAGATACATCAGATATATCAGATACACAGTTCTTTGTATTCACGTGAAACACGTGCCTCAGTCCAGCTCCTCTCTTCTCGTTAGCATGTAAATATATGCTAATACATGCAGAGCAGAATATTCGAGAATGTTTTAATGTGTCACCTCAGAGTGGAGGAGTTGATGTGTTAATGAAGAGACAGCGCGCACACACACACACAGAGCAGTGCAGGGTTGGCTGCGAGGCGCTAATGAACAGAGTGTGTTGTGTCAAACTCTCCTTTCCAAAACGACAGCGAGAGGAGTCTCACACAACCACACTTCTACACACACACACAATGGAGAACACCAAAAAAAGGAAAAAGCTGTGTAATACGAGATGTCACGTTGTGTAAAGGTGTTTTTATTATATTACTGTCACAAGAGAAGAGGTGTGTTTGTGTTCAAGGAGGAAGCAGATGCGGGGGGAGCTTAGCTGCTGACAGGAAGTGTTGCATTGATGTGTTTTTTGTGGGTTCACAATTTTAACCTTTGCAGTCTAAAGAAATCGAACTAAAAGGGTCGTGCTCCACCTTTCTGCTCAGCACAGAGGGGGAGGCATCTTAGCTTCTGCCTCTGCTTTGTTTTGCAAATTCTTTTAAGTCAAATATGTTTCAATCAGTCTGCATATATTTACTTTATGGTCCTAACTTCTCTTTCATCCTTCCTGCGTGTCTGTTTTCTTTGTCACATCTGTCCAACATTGAGAAACCCACCGCATTACTTATTTTCTGTTTGTTCCCGCTTTATTATTTTTTTCTGCTTTGGTAATTTTCTGCACACATCAGTTTTATTTTCGTCTCCTTATTTAATTAGTTCCTCTTTCATTGTGGGTCCAACTGCTTCGGTTCCTTCTTTCATTCTTTTTTTTTTTTTTTTTTTTTTTTTTCCCCTTTCATTCTTGACATATTTGCTTTCAGCCTCGCACATCTGGGCGACAGATCTCGATTTATTTTGTTCTGGTTTATTCAGCAGAGGCCTTGGCAATTTACAGCTAACGGGGTGTCATGAGTGTCATTCACATTGTGTCTTATTGTTGCTTGAAGTTTCCATTGTGACAGAGAGCTGGAAAACTCGGGCGCGGTGAATTCTTTCTCTCTTTGCTCACTGCTTTAACCCATCTCTGCTTGTGTGTGCGACCAGCATGGACACCGAGGCCAAATATTACAGACTTTATAAATCAAAGTAGTGTGTAGACTGTTAGCATCTTGTAATGTGTGTGGGTGTAATTAGGGATGAATTTATATTTCTATTCTTGGTTTTAGAGGCCTTATGAAGGTTTTATGACTAAACCGATGTTTTTATTAGTCTGATTATCTGATTATTATTCTCTAATTGGATGACTGAATTCTACCTGGTGTGTGAGTGATTATACGAACACTTTGTACCAATTGGAGGTCAGTTCGACCAAAACCTTGTGACTCAATCAAAAAAAAAAAGTGTTAAGTGACACAGTAGGAGAAATGTATCATTCATTTTTGCAGAAAAGGCACATAAAGTGAAAAAGGGGGTGTGGCTTGAATCTTAAATGACAATGAATCTGATATGTTGCAGATATCAAATTCAAAATAAACCTTATTTCCTATCAAACTACCTTATTTGTTGAAGAAGATGTCGATGAATCTCACCATCATCCATGGGTTCAACTTCTTATATCAGTGTTGGTCGAGTTACTTGAAAAAAGTAATCAGTAACTAATTACTGATTACTTATTTTCAAAAGTAATTAGTTACTTAGTTACTTTTTAAAAACATGATACACAATCTGAATAAGTGATAAAGCGATGGATCTTTCAGCCCAGTTCTACTTTTTCTGCATAATCCATCATATAAAATGTAATCACATGGAAAAGTCTCTTTTTAAAACTTGTTTTATTAGTTTTAATCTTTTAACTTTATGCATGAAGCAAACATTAAATTATATGCAACATTCTCTGACTGGAAGAAATTAGTTTATCATTTAAACCTATTTTCTGCACATTCCAGCACATAAAATAAAATCGTTTTTTGTGTTTCGGGGTTTTTTCGCTGTAAAAAGAAGTTTTCTTCCCACGCAGTGAACAGCGGACGCTAATGTTTTTGTCACTTTTACAGAATCAATCTCAAAGTAAGGTCAGTACTTCCACGCTTCAAACGCTGCACGCTCATCCTCTCTCCCGCACTCGATATATCATCCATTTTTGATCTGCACACAGCTGTTGTCACGAACGTCGCACTTGTTTATGTCATTGTCATAAAACACTCTCGCAAACGAAATCACGGTTTCGTAACGCAGCGTGCTTACGGGAAAGTAACAGTAATATAATTACCTTT